GATCCTCCTAGCTACCCTGTGAGGTAGGGGCTCTTATTAGCTCCATTTTATTGACGTAGGAACAAGTTAAATGACTTGTTCAGAACCACACAGCCAGTTAGTATAGAATTACTGATAGAAGGATCTATGTGCTATCATAGCTACACCTAAGTATAAGACAATGGGGTATAATAGAAAGCACTTGGAATCAGAAGGACCCTAGTTCAAATCCTACCTCTGACCTACTATCTGTGTAACCCTTAGCAGGTCGTTTAAGCTCTCTGAGCTTCAGTTCCTTTATGAAAAATAGGATCATGAATAGTATCTGCCTCACAGAACTGTTCTGTCAGAAAAGATAAGGTATATAAAGTGTTTTGCAAACTTTAATTATATAAATGCAAGTTTAATTATATAAATTATATATATATATATATATATATATATATATATATATATATATATATATACATCAATAATGAGAGGCAGTGTGGCATAGTAGATGGAGACTGGGCTTTTGGGGCTTACCTGTAGCTTTACTTCTTCATGACTTATCCATCAAACGATGGCAGAATATTGATGTCAGTCAACATTTATTAAGTGGCTACTGTGTGCCAAGCACTGTGTTAAGAGCTGGACAAAAGACAGTCCCTGCCCTTGAGGAGCTCACAATCCAATGAGGGTAAACAAATATGTACAGACAAGTTAAATACAGGATAAGTAGGAAATGTTTGAAAGAAGGTAGACATTGGAATTAAGAGGGATTGGGAAAGATGTTTTGTAGAAGATAGGATTTTAGTTGGAACTTAAAGGAAGCAGGGGAAGCCAGCAGATGGAGATGAGTAGTAAGAATGTTCCAAGAATAGGGGACAGCTAGAGAAAGTGCCTGAAGTCTGATGTAATGGAGATCAGCCTTTGTTTCAGGGAGAAGTCAGAGGGTCTGGGTTCAAATCCTGTCTCTGATCCTTACTACTGGTATGACCATAAACTAGTCACTTAATTTCCCTGAGCTTTAGTTTCCTCATATGTAAAAGGATGGCATTTGGCTAGATGGCCTCCAGCATCCCTTTTGGATCTCTGCTGTTATGATCCTGTAAATATTATCACCTATTCCTGAGGACATCTGACAGAGCTTTACTTTGTTTTAAGGTGTGAGGTATTGTGTGCTATAGTAATATACTGTAGAGAGAGTACTGATGTCTTCGGGGGACTTCCTTGTGTACAACTTTGAGCATTAGAATGGCTCTGGGATCATTTTAATTTGGGGATTGGGATTGGGAATTTTAGTGGGGAATTGTGGTTGTTATGGAGTCTCTTTCTTGCCTGTCCTCAAAGGTAAAGAGTGGTGTGATAGGTTCTTTGACTATTAAGCATCTCTCTCTGGTAGTCATTAATCAATCAGTACTTCCTTTGTGCTATTAGATTGTAAGCTCCTTGAGGACAGGGACTATTTTTTTGCTTCTTTTTGTATGCCCGGCACTTAGCACAGCTCCTGGCAGTACTAGGCACTTAATAAATGCTTATTAATTGATTGATTCCAAGGTACTTTGCTAAGTAGCTGTTGTTCACTTGTTTCAGTCATGTCCAGCTCTTCATGATCTCATTTGGGGTTTTCTTGGCAAAGATACTGGAGTGGTTTGCCATTTCTTTTTCCAGCTCATTTTACAGAGGAAGAAACTGAGGCAAACAGGATTTGCCCAGTATCATACAACTAGCTAAGTGTCTGAGGCCTGATTTGAACTCAGGAAGAAGAGTCTTCCTTACTCCAGGCAGGGTACTCTATCCACTGAGCACCTAGCTTCCCCTGCTATGCTAGTACAAAAACAGGCAAAATAGCCTGTGGGGATCTTCCATTCTAACGGGGAAGATAATATGTACAGAATATACACAAATGAGCATTAGGTAGTTTTGTAGGGGAAGCTTGGGGGACCAAGGAAGGTGTCTATTTAGCTGGTGACCCATGGGAAAGTTGTTTTTACAGGTCAGATCCTTTAAAAACAAACAGTTACAATGACTAGTTCACCACGATGGGAGGGTCACTTTATCCTGGCCTGTGTCCATTGGCACCATTGGGTGCCCTTTGGTGATCTTAGTTTGTGAAAACTTTTATCTAGTGAGCCTCCTTAAAAAACAAACAAACAAACAAAAAAACCCGCTCGATATCTGTTTGCATAGCACCCCTTAAGAGGAAAAAAAGAAGAAAATAAAGGCATTCATTAATATCTTCTGGCTGACACTTAAATTTAGCTAATCAGTCAGACTGGATAGCTAGGAAGATCTGTTAGCCAGGATGATTGTGGATAGCTATGACTCCAAGCTTCATAGGATTTAAAAAAAAAAAAAAAGACAAACCTCCTATCAGATAGAGATCCCTTTGTCAGGCTCACCCTGATTTTTATCAAAGGAGTATCAGATTATAGAGAATTTCTATTTTGTTGCTCTCAGTTCCCTTAGAAACAAGTAGGACTGGAAGTAGGAGTACCTGGCCCTGTGCCTCTACTACCCAGATTGGCCCAGGTTAGGGCCATTGCCATAGAGGTATTAGTCATTCAAGTGATATTCTGGTATGCAGTATGTAATATAAAGAGCTCCAGATTAAAAGGTCCATAGGCTTGCCTGGGTTCATATCTCACCTCCGCTACTAGCAGTTTGACCTTGGACAAATCACCTCATGTCTCTGTGCTTCAGTTCCCTCATCTGTAAAATGAGATTAGACTAAATTATTTCTCGGATTCGTCTTCGCCACCTCCATCCCATCTCCTTTGTCCTGAATCTGTGATTCTGTGATTTCCTGTCAGTTTTGACATTGCCTTTCTCTGCATCCCCAGCTTAACACAGTGCCCAGCACATGGTAGGGGCTCAATAAATGTTTATTGATTATTAGGATTTGGCTTGTATAGGACTACCAATGGATTGCAATAGACTACAAGCTTCTTCCTGGCTGACTTTGTCTTTTTATCTCTAGCACCTAATGCAGCACCTTACACAGAGTAGGCATTTAATAAATGCTTGGTGATTGATACACAAAGTCAGAAGGGTCTGTGGGTAAATGGCTTGGTTAATTAGTAAATCAGTTGTTATCATTCGCTTCCTATTGAAATTACTGTGTGGGGGCAGCTAAGTGGTGCAATGAATAGAGCACCAGCTCTGGAGTCAGGAGGACCTGAGTTCAAATGTGGCCTCAGACACTTGACACTTACTAGCTGTGTAACCCTGGGCAAGTCACTTAACCCCATTGTCTAGCAAAAAACAAACAAACAGAGATGAAATTACTTCTTACTGTATATATTTCGTACATAGAAAGAGAGATTAAGTGAATAAATAGAAGGATGGTGCCTTGCCTTAGGAAGGGAGGGCATTGGTAAGATGGAAATTCAATGTTAGCCAGAGTACAAATAGTTTAAATTTGTGTCTGAATTGCCACTAACTTTTTAAAATTAATTTCTTTAACCTCACTTTGCTGTAAGCTGCATGACTTTCACAACAAATATATATATATGTGTGTGTATATATATGTATATATATATATATATATATATATATGTGTGTGTGTGTGTGTGTATATATATATATATATATATATATATATATATATATATATATGTATGTATTTTTTTACTGTTAGTCCCATTTAGTGCATTGTAACCATTCTTGGGAATGAGGGCAAGTGTTTGGCTGGCGGCAGAGGCTGCACTGAGGAGCACAGAGATCCCATGGGAAGGAGGGGCAGCCCACTTAGTTATTTACTCTAGCCAATTGAGGGGCCTGAATGGTGGAAGCCCTTTGATCCCCAGTCAGCAGCTGTGAGTAGGAGTGCCATTTTCCATCTGTGTTTAATGCACAGGTTGTGACCCCATTTCTCCGAGGGCTTTGCCACTGTGATTGATACGTTTTGTAACCTCCAGATTGGATTACTGCAGGGTGTGCTCAAGGATCCCTAGACGACCACCCAGAACGTTCATCTGGTATTGAATGCCCATTTCCCTTAAGTGCTTATAACCACTTGGATCATATTTTTTGAAAAGAAAAACACTGGCATTTTTCCTGTTTTTTTCCCCCACTTCTGGGTATTTGGGGGTTTCTGAGATCAGCTGGTGTCATTGGAGAATGACTTTCAGGCCTGAACTTATGGAGTTGATAGTACAACCATATTGTCTAACATGAGTTTAGAATCCCTTTCCTGTTTGTGCTAGACCATGGTGTAGGGCTGAGAAAAAGCAGTATCTTCTAATGCATGCCATTGGCTAAGAAAGAGTAATAATAACAGTTGATACTTACTTACATTGCAATGTAATGGTCGTCAAAAAAAAAACCCAAGAAGGAAAAAAAAGAAAAAAAAGAATTTCTGCATGCATTCTCATGTGATGACCCAGCAACCCTATGAGATAGATACTGCATCATCCCCATTTTACTAATGAGAAAAGTGAGGCCCAACAAGAATGTATCCTTCCCATAGTCACACAGGTAATAAGTGTCATCAGAAAAAAAATTCTACATGAAGAAAACAAGTTCAGCCCTTGGGGAGGATAGTGTGGTTTGCATATCAGCAATAACATTTTCATAAATCCAGAATGAATTGATGTTGAATTTCAAGTTAGAATTAGGTGATTGCTAAGGTTCCTTCATGCACTAAATCCTATGATCTTATGATGACAAGAGAATTGTCACAAAGGAAATTAAGTTAATTATCTTAATATATCTATTGCTATAGCTATTGGGCAGCGAGGTGGTGCAGTGGATAGAGCACCAGGCCTGGAAACAGGAAGATCTGAGTTCATATTTGGCCTTAGATAGTTACTAGCTGTGTGACCCAAGGCAAGTCACTTAACCCCTGATGGCGACACACTGGAGAAGGAAATGGCAAACTACTTCAGTGTCTTTGTCAAGAAAACCCTGTGAACAAGTTCATGAGATTACGATGAGTTGGACACAGCTACATCAACAACAGCATACATATGTATATTTATATCTATCTATTCATATCAATATCCATATTCATATTTGTATCTTTTTTTGCTCCTCAGGGAGAGAAACAGAGAGAGACACAAATCCCCTCGAAGTAAAGATGGCAGCCGTTCCGAAAAATCTGTCACCATTCAGGCCCCTCCAGCAGAACCACTGTTGGGGAATGATTCCACTAGAGGAGAGGAGGTACAGGTAAGGACGAAAGAGGGAACCGAACAGAAATGAAAAGATGATATTGCCCGGCAGAGGCCCATTTCAGCTCATATTTTTTCTCACTGTTAGTGCACTGTCTTTATTACTCCTGTGGTTTTCACATTTATTTTTCTGATATGTTCATTCATTTTTATCTAGCTCTTTCCATCCTGTTGAGAGCCTACGGCCTGGTACTCTGTTGCCTCAGTGATTACTTTGTCTCTTAAGTCAGAGGTTACTTATCCACACTTTATATGGTGCTAAGAGATAAGCCAGAATTATTAGACATAATCAAAGAAAAGGAACCATTTGGGAGCATTAGAGGAGAGGAATAACTGACTAGAGGCTTTGGAGCCACAGGTGATGAGAGGGAAAACTGGAAGACAGACCATATAATTGGTCAAAGAAACTGGAGCTATTTAGCTTAGAGAAAAGGAGGTTTGAGGGAGATAGGGTAACTGTCTTATTCTGCCAGGTCCCAAAGAACTGAGGTAGAAACAGTGGATACAATTTGCAGAGAGGTAGAGTTAGGCTTAAAGTAAGGGGAAGAACCTGCTTCCTAATAATTAGAGCTATCCAAAAGGAGAATAGACTGTGTTGGGAGTTAATGGGTTCTCCAGCACCTCTGTAAGAGGAGAACAGATACTTATTGGGGATGTTGTGAAGGAAGTGCCTATAAACATACAGGTCAGACCAAATTTTCTAAGTCTGAGAGTCTGCGATTTGTTTCTGAATAAAGCAGTTTTTCTATACAGAAAGAAAAAATCCTTGAGCTGCTGCCTCCTTTGGTGGGGTCACCTTTAAAAAGTCATAGTGACAGAGGACTTCAGTTAGCATTGGGAGGGATTGGAGAAAGTAGTGAAGGCAGCATTCAGAGCCCAACGTGAGAATCAGTAGCAATGAAATTTGTGCCATTGTGCTCATTGGGAGACTGTATCTGTAGATTCACATCCCCCCCACCCCCGACTCCCCAGATGGAAATTCGTTCACAAACAGACTACACATAAGCATATGTGTAGTCAGACACCACCACCCCCTCAAACGAGCCATCAGGGATAGTACACACACCTTCAGACACTCAAATCAAACTCCAGAGTTGTGCACATATGTTTGCCTAAAGAGACATGTGTATGTGCAGACATGTCTCCCAGGGTGTTGCTCTGCCTGGTATTATAATAGTGTTATTTATACATTATGATCAAGCTACATGTTAACCCCTTGGGGCTCTTACTCTCAGATGGATTGGCAGTGATCTTAGCCAGCTTAAGGCCCCGTGGCATTAATTTTCCCAAGTGTCAGACGGTGTACTATAGCTTCATTCATAGTATTCCAGCAGATCTGGCTGTACAGTTGTTTCTCTGAATATTGTGGTGTTATGGATACAATAAGTGGTACTGCTTGGAGGCCAAAGGATCACAGATTTAGACTGGAATGAATTGTAGAGGTAATTTAATCCATGGACTCAGAAGATGGAAAGTGACTTATCCAAAGATGGCAGAGTGAAAGCAGTAACTTGCTTGAGCTCTCCCCCAAACCCCTCCAAATACCTATAAAAATGGCTCTAAACAAATTCTAAAGCAGCAGAACCCACAAAAAGGGAGAGTGAAACAAATTTCCAGGCCAAGACAACCTGGATGATTGATCAGAAAGGTATATTGCACTGGGCTGGTAGAGGAGCGCAGTTCGGCGTGGGCACACAGGCCGCAGTAAATCTGGAGCAGGCCTCAGAGGACTGAATCGCGGGCAGCTGTGCCAGTTTCCAGACTCCTCAATCCACAAATGCCAAAGACACCTTAGAAGGTCAGTGGGAAAAGTCTGTCTCTGCAATGGTGAGAGAGGAACACCGGGGTCTCAGATCCAGTTCCCCAAGAGCGTGGCCTGGGGCAGGGGGCAGCTGCCTCCTGAGCTTCCAGCCCACAGACTGAGGGGGAATCCAGTGGCTGATCAGGGAGGATTGCAGGGATCTCTTTGCCAGTACTTGGACCTGGGTCACAGTTCTAGGTGGAAGTCCTGGGGTGAGGAGGAACGCTGGAGTGGTGGAGCTTGTAGTGGCTGTGGACAGGAACCCCTCCTCACAGTTACAGGACAGAAAGGAGTACTTGTGGTCACAGGCCAGGAAAGGAATAAACACCTCGCCCCTTATCATACCACCTTGGAAGAACTGAAAATTTACAGGTATCTCTGAAAACAGCTGTACAAACCCCTGAGGCTTGGGACAGTACATTCTCCACATTGGAAGCAGACTCTTACCTTAACAAAGAGTTTAAAACTCAAGTAATTGCCTGGGATCATGAGCAAGCAGCGCAAAAAGAGTCAGACTATATTATCTTACTTTGGTGACAAAGAAGATCAAAATTATACAACCAGAAGAACAAAACAAAGTCAATACTCCTACATCCAAAGCCTCCAAGAAAAATATGAATCAGTCCCAGGCCTTGGAAGAGCTCAAAAGGGATTTTGAGAAGCAAGTAAGGGAAGTAGAGGAAAAACTGGGAAGAGAAATGAGAGTGATGCAAGAAAATCATGAAAAATAAGTCAACAGCTTGCTAAAGGAGACCCAAAAAAATACTGAAGAAAATAACACCTTAAAAAATAGCCTAACCCAAATGGCAAAAGAGGTCCAAAAAGCCAATGAGGAGAAGAATGCCCTAAAAAGAAAAATTAGCCAAATGGAAAAGGAAGTCCAAAAGATTACTGAAAAAAATACTTCCTTAAAAATTAGAATAGAGCAATTGGAAGTTAGTGACTTTATGAGAAATCAAGACACTGTAAAACAAATCCAAAAGAATGAAAAATAGAAGACAATGTGAAATATCTCATTGGAAAAACAACTGACCTGGAAAATAGATCCAGGAGAGAGAATTTTAAAATTATTGAACTTCTGAAAGCCATGATCAAAAAAAGAAATTATCAAGGAAAACTGCCCTGATATATTAGAACGAGAGGGCAAAATAGAAATTGAAGGAATCCACAGATCTCCTCCTGAAAGAGATCCCCAAAGGAAAACTCCTAGGAATATTGTAGCCAAATTCCAGAGTTCCCAGGTCAAGGAGAAAATATTACAAGCTGCCAGAAAGAAACAATTCAAGTACTGTGGAAACACAATCAGGATAACACAAGATTTAGCAGCTTCTACATTAAAGGACCGCAGGGCATGGAATATAATATTCCAGAGGGCAAAGGAGATAGGATTACAACCAAGAATCACCTACCCAGCAAAACTGAGTATAATCCTTCAAGGGAAAAATTGATCATTCAGCAAAATAGAGGACTCTCAAGCATTCTTGATGAAAAGACCAGAGCTGAATAGAAAATTTGACTTTCAAATAGAAAGTGACTTATCCAAGGTTTCACAGTAAATGACAAACTGGGATTTGAACACAGAATCCTGACTTCAGTGCATCCCTCTGAATCATAAAATAATAGAACATCAATTTTGAGTAAGACAGAACCTTAGAGTTCATTGAAGCTTGTTAATTTTTGAGCTGAAATTGACCTCAAAGGCAAATTAGTTCAACCCTTTATTTTAAGAAGAAGATAATGAAGCCTAGAAAGTTGAAATGACTTGCCCAAGGCCACAGGTAAATGGGAGAGCTAAGGTTTGAACTCAGGTCCATTAATTCCAAATCTAGCATTCTTTACACTATATCATGCTTTTTTTTCTGAATATACATGGATATTGGCCATTGGACATTTCTCTGGGAGTAGTCAAGAGCCCACTGCTTTCTTCTCCTAAGTTGATCTACAAACTAGATTACATAGTGTGTCCATGTAGCATGGCTCAAAATTTTTTTTTAAAGCAATCCAATCTCTGAAATGTTAAATGACCCTGGGATATGTGAGGGCCACTTTCTAATTATAGGTTTGGACCAGATTTTTTTTTTTTGGAGGGTACTCACCACTGCCCTAGACAGATAACTTCCAGCAAGAGCTGAGCTCTTCTGGTCTATTGCAGGTCCTTGGCAATTATTCTGCAGGGTACCTCTTGAGCATACAGGTATGTATGCTGGTGTGGTTATTATCTCAGCAAAAGAACACTAGTCAATGTTTAGAGTTAGCTGTACATATAGATACATGCCAATAATGATTAAACATATATATGTGTGTATGTATCTCTATGTATATAGACACAAACATATGAAAATGTGTGTGTGTATATATACATATATATATTGTTAGAATATGAACAGTTTTGCTAGGCATAGTCTAGCATAGTCATTTAATTCTACCTGTAAACACTGCAGAAAAAAATTACCATATATAGCCAGTGACCTTATGTTCTCAATGAATTTGTTACCTCAGTTTGGGCAAGATTCTTTTTTCGTATGTTATTTTTTTGAGTTTAAGAACTAATTTTTGTAGTGGTTCTTGGATCTGGACCCCTTTTTGGCTCCTATTTCTCATGGTTCTTGTAGCTTGCCACCCAAATTATCACAAGATCTAAACTTATTTAGTTCAGTTATGACCCAGATATCACTAGCCCCAGGGGACAGTGGATACTGCCTCAATTTCATTTGTGTTTTCCCAGGTGACTCAATTATCATACTTATTGCAAAGAGGTAGCTTGCTTGGTACAATGAAAAGAATAGTAGATTTGGAGTGAGAGAACCTTGGCTTGAACCCTGTCCCTTCTTACCTGTGTGACCATGGGCAAGTAACTTCCCTTCTCTAGTCTACAGTTTCCTCATTTATAAAATAAGGGAGTTGGATTAAATGGCCTTTACTATCCCTTTAGCTGTATATCTGTACTTCACTAAGCCTAGGCATTGATCTCATTTGGGCACATTAATCTATTTTGCCTTTGCATGAGTTTTACAGATTTGCTTTCTATGTAAACCAATGAGGTAAAACTTCCTTGGACACTCAGATTCAGACTGTTGGTGGTTCCTGAATGAGTTTACTGAGCAGTGGAATGACAAGGTGGCTAAAAATCTGAACAGTTGGTTCAAAGTAGATGAGCAATCAAATTACCAAAATAAGAAAGTACTAAAAAAAAAAGAAAAAGGAAAAATTTACTAAGGGGCTTAAGAGCAATTTTCCCTGGCTTGCCTTCCTAGATAAAGTCAAGCTAACAAGCATTTATTAAGTACCTACTACGTGCCAGAAACTGGGCTTGAGGGCTGGGGATACAAAGAAAGGCAAAAACTGCCCCTTCTCTCAAGGAGCTCACAATCTAACGAGAGAGACAATATATAGAACTTTACACACGAACAAGCCACAGACCATATAAATAGGAGGTAATCTCAGAGGGAAGACATTGTGATGAAGGATGCCTGGGAAAGGCTTATTACAGAGGATGGGAGTCTAGCTGAGACTTGAAGGAAGATCAGTAGCAGGAATGAGGAGTGAGACCATTCCAGGCATGGGACAAAATGAATGAAATTGCCTGGAGGTGGAATATCCTGTTGGTGGAACAGCAAGGCGGCCAGTGTTAATGGATGGCAGAATGCATGAAGGAGAGTAAGATGTAAGAGTAGAAAGGTAGGAAGGGGCCAGTTTATGAAGTAATAGGGAACCACTGAAGTTTCCTGAATAGGGGTGTGACATGGTCAGACCTCTACTTTCAGAAGATCAATTTGGTAGTTAAGTGGAAAATGGGCTGGGGTTGGGAGAGACTTGAGGCAGGGAGACCAACCAGCTGGTCATTGCCATAGCTCAGATGTGAGAAGTTGAGGGCATAAACTAGAGTGGGGGCAGTGTCAGAGGGGAGATGGGGACATATACAGTATTATGACAAAGGTAGAAAGGACAGGACTTGGCAATGATTGAATACAGTGAGAGACAGTAAAGAGTCAAAGATGACACTTGGACTACAAGCCTGAGTGACGGGGAGGATGGTAATACTTTCAACAGTAACAGAGAAATTAGGAAGAGAGGTGGATTTGAGGGGGGAGGAGGGAAGGTAATAAGTTCAATTTTGGACATGTTGAGTTTAAGATGTCTGTGGGACATGTAATTTTAAATGTCCAGTTGGACATTTGGAAGTTGGAGATGCGAGCCTGGAGGTCAGCAGAGAGATTATGGCTGAACAGATGGTTGTGAGAATTATCAGCATAGAGATGATTATTGAATTCATGGGAACTGATGAGATCTCCAAGTGAAACAGTGGGGGAAGAAGCCCAGGACAGAGCCTTGGGAGACATACATGGTTTGCAAGGATATACAGCAAAGGAGACTGGGAAGGAACCGTGAGACAGCAGAGAGTAGTGTCATAGAAACCTAGAGACAAGAAAGAATTGAGAAGAGAGTGATTGACAGTGTCAGAGGCTACAGAGAGGTTAAGAAGGATAAAGCCCAAGAAAAGGCCATGAGATTTGACAATTAAAAGATTAGCCAGGTGGTGCAGTGTATAGAGTGCTGAATTTAGAATCAGTTAAGACATGTTCAAAATGGGGATAATAATAGCACCTACTTCCCAGGGTTGTTGTGAGGATAAAATGAGACAAAATTTGTAAAGTCCTTTGCCACTCTTAAACTGCTACACATTTGCTATTTTACATAGATATAGTTTACTCATGTATAATTTATATATATGAACACATACATACATACGGCACTTAGTCCTCTACCCCATCCTCGTCTACCTCTGCAATTACCACAGAAATTGACAATGGTCAGATCAGGAAGGCAGGAATTCTGATAAAACCTCCAGAGCACCCATTTCCCATCATTTCGGTCCTTTATGACTCAGGGGGACAAGGAAGCCATACTAATAAATCAAGCCTTCATTCCCTGGGCCAAAAAAACCAGTCCAATCTACATAAAACAGGTGCTGCTCCTACCATACCATGACACAAAGCATTCACCCAGATCATTTGTATTCCATTTTTAACCCCCCCCTCCCGCATTTTACCTACATAGGATTATAGTTTACAGGGCCTATTTATTCTTCTTCATGGATAGTCCTAATGAGATTGCTCTGTATGATTTTATAGCTTCTGGAATATTGAAAGTTAACTGCAAAAATAGCCAGATGCCAGGGAGAGGTGACAGCTTTGGGATTATGACTTGGGGGAAACAACTGAAGAATTAAAAAAACTAGACATGAGAACTAAATGTATAGTAGCCTGGAACCATTTAGTATGGGGGAGAACTATCCCTGTACACCATAATACCTATTGAAAAGCATCATTATCTTAGAATAATATCATTGATATTAATAATGAGCATAAGATAATAAGATTGAGAGATAAGAAGGACCTTAGAGATCTTCTTGTCCAAACTCCTCTTTTTTCTGATTTGGGAACTCAGGCCCCAAGAATTGAAATGACTCGCCCAATGTCACATATGCTTCTTTGACTCCAAATCCAGCTAACCCTGAGTCATCAAGAAAATATTGTTATTTTCACTCTATTAAGAACCTCTCCCCCTAAAATTTAGTGTTCAAAGAAGTCATCTTTAATTACATAGCAAACATTCTTCCATTCCCACATGATAATTGAGGAATATTTCTGGGTATTCTACTGATGGCTCATTATACCTCCAAACACTTCCTAGCTATTACAAATGACATGCTAGTAACTAATTAGTGGTATAAGGGAAAGATCATTGGCTCCAAAGTCAAGAAGACTTGGGTTTAAATCCCTCTTCTGATACTTCATTTCTCTGTGACCTTGAACAAGTCATTTCATTTCCCTGGACCTTAGTTCTCCTCACCTATAAAATGAGGGCTTTGGACTGGATGTCTTCTGAGGTGGCTTCTAGCTCAGCAGAATGAATGGAGTCCCCAAAGTGGGACGGGCTGCCTCGGAAGAGGAGGGGTTTCTCCTCGCTAGAACTCCCAAAGCAGGGTCTAGATGACCTGCTCTTGGGGATATTTTGGAGGCAGAGAATTTACTGATCAGGGATGGGTTGGGTACTGTGGCTTCTGAGGAACGACTTCTCCTCTGAGGTTTGGTCAGCGGTGATTGATTCACATTGCCTTTTGTGCTCTGCATTAGGATGACAACTGGGGAGAAACCACCACAGCCATCACTGGCACCTCGGAACACAGCATCTCCCAGGAGGACATTGCTAGGATCAGCAAGGACATGGAGGATAGCGTTGGACTGGATTGCAGACGCTACCTTGGCCTGACAGTGGCGGCAGTCTTAGGTCTTCTTGTTTTCCTCACCCCCATTGCCTTCATTCTCTTACCTCCAATTCTATGGCGGGATGAGCTGGAACCGTGTGGCACAATATGTGAAGGGCTCTTCATCTCAGTGGCGTTTAAACTCCTCATCCTTCTCATCGGGACCTGGGCCCTCTTTTTCCGTCGTCAGACGGTGGAAATGCCTCGGATCTTTGTGTTCCGGGCCCTTTTACTGGTCCTCATTTTTCTATTTGTGGTTTCCTATTGGCTTTTCTATGGTGTCCGCATCCTGGACTCTAGGGACCGAAATTACCAGGGCATTGTGCAATACGCGGTCTCCCTTGTGGATGCCCTTCTCTTCATCCATTATCTAGCAATTGTGCTGCTAGAGCTCCGGCAGCTCCAGCCCATGTTCACGCTGAAAGTGGTCCGGTCAACTGACGGCGAGTCACGCTTTTACAGTTTGGGAAACTTGAGGTAAGTTGAGAAATTCAGGAAAATTAAATGTTGTGGCCTGCTAGAAAACAGCTGGTCTGCTTGTGATGTGATAAAGCACGGGATTCTGATGTCTATCTTTTCTTGTGTGCTGAGTGATATGGGGAGGAGGCAGCTGCTGCATCTCGTTTATATTAGAGGTGAGGGGCTTACCATCTAACTTTTACAGCAGGTAGTTGTTCTGCAGAGTGGTAGTTAAGAGTCTGGGTGTGCTGTTTAAAGTGGGTCCCAGAATCAGCTCAGACACATTAGCCATAGGCTACTGAACCCTACTGTAGAGTGTCAGGTGCATGAGTGATAACTGTTAGAGATGGATATAACAGGCAGAAGTCATTTAGAACTGAATGCACAGTATACCAGAGTCTTGGAGATGAAGGGGACCAGCTGAGACATATACCTGGCCAAGAGTCCCTTCTTTCCACGGTATACGCTAATCAGCAGTCATCCATCCAGTCGTTCTTCAAAAACTTCTTTCTAGTACTTTAGATGAGTATGTGTTTAGGCAGTGCATGACAGCTGTCAAGGTGCTCAGGGTTGGCAAAGGTACATGAAAGGGTCTGATGACAACTGGCATTCCGTTTAGTAGCTAGGAATGCAGCCAGGACTCAAGCTGGAGCCAAGGCCAGCCGCCTCCCAAATGAGCACATTTCCATCAATTTTGTGACATCTTTTGATTCCTGCGGTCACTCTTGAACTCATGGTACTTCATCTTATAATAATGATTGAGGACCGGACAGCCCAATGGAGAACACTAAGTCACATTCTGAAAGCAACTGAAAAAAACTGTTATGTAGAAAAAGGAATTGTTGCATATTGCTCCAGGAGGCAGAATTAGGACTGATGGGTAGGAGTTCCAGGGATAACATAAGAATGGTTGGTAGTGGCAATATTATGAATTTGTTCATGTTTCCCAAACCTATTGGGGCAGCATGGCTTTGGAGAAATGGGAGGTGAGGCAGGGAGTGGGGGTGAAGGGGAAGGGGAGGGAGAGATTTCCTAATCACAATTAAAAGAATATTGCCTTAGGAAGCTATCCCTGTTGTAGTCACAAGTGTAAATGCCAACAACTGTGGGATCTCATCAAGTAGCCACAATGGTCAGTGAGTAGAATTGTATGTGGAAGGCAGGATTGCAGCCAGCCATTTAAGTTCACGACAAAATAATCATCCATTAGTAATCATCCATCTATTCCCCTATTCCCCAGCCCCCAATGCCAACTCCTCAGTCTCTGCTTGAAAATGATTCATCTCAGGGGTTCTAGCTTGTAGCAAAGTCCACACTTTCATCTTCTCTGCACATCTCTGTGGAGAAGTCCATGGGAGAAGTCTGCTCCTTTGCTCATTCTTCTCCAATTTGATTTTTACTAACTAGTCTCTCTTGTTCCTTTTTTTTCTTTTCTTAAAAATTTTATTAATTTATTTTGATTTATCAACAATCACTTCCATATGCTTTTGGGTTTAAAATTTTTCTCCCCCTTCCTCCCCACCACCCTCTCCAAGATGGTGCACAATCTGGTATAGGCTATACATTTACATTCCTTTTAAACATTTTCACATTAGTGAAGTTGTAAGTAAAAATTAAAACCAATAGGAGGGACCATCAGAAAGAGGAAACAAAACTCAACAGAAGAGAAAAAAAATGGTAGTGATTCAACTTTCATAGTTCTTTCTTTGGATGTGGATAACATTTTCCATCATGAGGCCTCTGGAGATGTCTTAGATCCTTGTAATGCTGAGAAGGGTTAAGTTTATCAATATTAGTCATCGCACAACGTGGCTGTTATTGTGTGCAAAGTTCTCTTGGTTCTGCTCACTTCACTCAGCATCAGACCATACAAGTCTTTCCAGGTTTTTCTGAAGTCAACCTGTTCATCATTTCTTATAGCACAATAGTATTCCATTACATTCGTACCACAACTTGCTCAGCCATTCCTCAATTGATGGGCATCCTCTGAACTTCCAATTCTTTGCCACCACAAAAAGAGCTGCTATAAATATTTTTGTACATGTGGGTCCTTTTCCCATTTGTATGATCTCTTTGGGAAATAGTCCTAGAAGTGCTATTGCTGGGTCAAAGGGTATGCACATTTTATAGCCCTTTGGGCATAGTTCCAAATTGTTCTCCAAAATGGTTGGATCATTTCACAACTCCACCAACAATGTGTTAGTGTTCTAATTTTCCACACCTTCTCCTACGTTTATCATTTTGCTGTTTTGTCATGTTGGCCAATCTGATAGGTGTGATGTGGTACCTCAGGGTTGTTATGATTTGCATTTCTCTAATCAATAATGATTTAGAGCATTTTTTCATATGACTATAGATGGCTTTAATTTCTTCATCTGAGAACTGTCTGTTCATATCCTTTGACCATTTATCAATTGGGGAATGGCTTGTATTCTTATAAATTTGTCTTAATTCTCTATATATTTTAGAAATGAGGCCCTTATCAGAAATAGTCTCTCTTGTTTCCACACAGAGACCATGGTAAAGTAGAATGGATAGGTTAGAGAAAAGGGGACTTGTGTGGCATTCTGCCTCATTAGCCATCACTTCATTCTGTCAGCGCTCAGACCTAAATCTGGGACAGGATAGGGTAGGTACCAGTGGAGGAGTCAGCATGGAAGGCCACTGTGAAAATCAGGGCTGTTACCCTGGGCCAGATGTGGGCTACACAGCCCACAAATCCTTGGGGTAAGTCTGACCCAAGACAGCAGGAGCTGGAAAAGCCACTAAGCCAGAAATATACCTTCTAAAGAGTCTTGCAAAGTTCAGGGGGAAAAAAAGATTTAAATGTTTAAGCATTACATAAGGGGAAAAAAAACTATAAAAGGAATCTGAGAGATTCAGAATAGCATATCCTTTTTCTCTGTCCAGCCAAACTAGAATCACAGGTCTCTGCATTTTATTTAAGGCTGCTCCTGTGGGACTGACCTGTTTTTATGCTTTAGTTGCACAGCTGAGGTGACTTTTTTTGCAAAGGACTTCTGGCAAATTGGCCTGGAACATCTTTCATAGTCTTTTTTGGTTGTTCTGAGAGTCAGTTTCCCTATCTTGCTTCAGCTGGAAATTCAGCAGCCACTCATGATCCTGATCCAAGTGCCAGTTGGCACAGAAGTGGCTTTATTTTTCTGACCTGGACTGACTTGTTCCTTTGGCAGCCTGATGGCCCAGGAGCTCACCGTACTAGTGCCAGACTTAGTGTGGGTACTTTATTGCCTTTAGCCCTGTTGCAGCTCAAGTGACCCAGTGATTTCTAGCATTGGGCTTGGAGTCAGGAAGACATAAGTTCAGATCCTGGTGTTTACTTACTAGCTGTGTGGCCCTGGAAAAAATCACATAACCTCTGTTTGCCTCAGTTTTCTCAGCTGTAAAATGGACTTAGTAAGACCACGTGCCTCCCAAGGTTATTGTGAGGCCAAAATGAGATAATATTTGTATTTGTTAAACCACAAAGCACTATGTACATGCTAACTGTTATTAGATATTGCAAGTGTGTACCACCATACCGAACAAAAGCTCAGTTTTTAGGTTGATCTAGGATAAGTGGTCATCTTTCTTAAAAGCTTCAAGTATAGCCAGCCCAGCTGAGTTTAGAGAGAGATTCTTCCTCAAAGCATCATAGATAAAGAGCTGGAAGGTCATCTGTTCCAACCTGCTCATTTCATAGATAAGGAAACTGAGGCCCAGAGATTGTTCAAGGTTACCTGGGCCATCCAGGTTCTCTGATCCCAAATCCAGCATTCTTTCCACAGTACCCTGGTACCTGCCTTGAAGACCCTTAATAATCATGTTAAATGATGTTCACCGTAGCTTTTTTCTATGTAAAGATTTCTAGCTAAACTGACCAAAAATTTGGTGATTTTTTTTAAGGGTAAACTCTCAGCTGGACTGTCTGGAGCAGGGGTGAGAAACCAGCAGCCTCAAGGCCACATGTGGCCTTCTGGGTCCTTGGGTGCAGCCCTTTGACTCCAAACTTCATAGAACAAATCCCCTTAATAAAAGGGTGTGTTGTGTAAAGCTTGTACTCGTGTGGCCTCAAGGCTGAAAGTTCCCCACCCCTGGCTTTTCTAAGAGAGCAATTCTTTTTCCAGGTGTTCCACATAACAGAGGAGTTGCTATAATGACTTCAGACTTGTGGTTTTAGCCATCATGGTGTGTCTAGGCATGACCAGTCTTAAGCCAGCATTTTAGCTGTGCTTTACCCACTGAAAGATGACCATTTATGAAAAAGATATAACCGTTGACTGCAAATTAAAAAAAAAAAGCTAGTATTCTCAAAGAAGCTTCTTTTGAAAGTACTTTTCCCACAGCGAGAGTTCAATTGTGAGCTTGTCCTGGTAGTGTTCAGAAAGGGACATTTATGTTTCTTGGTGACTTTGGGTCCAGAAACAGGAGGCAACTGTTGTCAGTGAGCAGACTCTAACTCCAGTGGAGACAAAGCTAAGTTTGTCACCCCTCCAGCTCCCGTTCACATGCTCTCCAGCTCTGGCCGGGCCCTGGCTTTTTTTTTTTTTTTGGTGAACGCTTGGTTTTCAAATTAGAAACTTATGGGGGAGGCTCCCTGGGGAGCTTAAAGTTACTCTAATAATTTGGAGAGACAGCCAGCCGCTGACTGAACCTTTGTGTCTGTTAGTTAATCCCAGGGCTAAGGAATAATGGACACGGTGATTGCTCAGACCGGGTGAACACTTCTCTTTGTTAGCATGATGGAAAGGGCTCTGGTCTGGAAATGGAGAGACCAGGGTTCTGGTCCTGGCTGTATGGAAGACCTTGGACAAGTTGTTTACTCTGAGTTATAGTGAAGAGACATTTATAAAGTGCCTGCTCTATGCCAGGCACTGTGCTAAGCTCTGGGGATATGAAGAAAAGTATAAGAAGGTCCCTGCCTTCAAGGAGCTTACAGTCTAAAAGGGGAGACACCATGTAAAGAGAAGCTGAAAAGTTAAGGGTGGGTGAGAAAAGGGAGGAGGGGCTAACTAGCT